TAATTGCCTGGATCCGTTTATGTTTAGATGTGAATCGGGCCTTAATTATCCATTCATTAACGGTTTTATATGCTTAGTTATAGTTGCTTAGAAATGTACAAACAGTGACTGATCTCTAATTACCAGGAGTCCGGCTGTCAGAACGTTTCTGGTGGTTCATTTTATTGCTGAACGTCTTTATCTCGTCAGTTGTTGTGAGTGAAATGACAGCAGATATCCGGCCTTCTCTCCACACACCTAGACACAACGACACCATCATTATTAGGACTTAACAATACAACAGATCTCTTTTTGTTAGCCAATAAAATTAATATACATGTGTTTTTTAATAGTTTAAAGAAAAACTCCGGGCATTTTAACCACTTGCTGACCAGGTGTTTAGACCCCCATCCTGTCCCGGCCATTTTTCAGTATTCAGCGCTGCGGTACTTTTATTCCGTCATGCAACGCTGTACTGAAACTGATTATATACCATTTTTTGGGGACAGATAGAACTTTCTTTTGGTGGTATTTAATCACCACTGGGGGTTTTATTTTTTACTATATTTCGCAGGCATGCGCCCCTGACGCATGTTTGCATGCGTGTATGGGTGGGAAATTTTTTTTTTTAATTCTTTTTTATGTGTAACTTCAATTTTTTGGGGGGAAACTAATTTTTTTTCCTATTTTTTTTTCCCCACTTAACTTTATTGTTATCAGATAGGGGGCTAAGAAATCCTCTTATGTGATAGCAAAAGAAGTGACAGGTCATCTTTATGGAGACATTAGGGGTCTCCAAGACCCCTAATGTCACCTAGGACCCCCCTGAAGAAGCTGATGAAGCAGAGATCGTGTACTGACCTCCTTCTGATCCCATCAGAGAAACACAATGCTTGTCCCGGGCTCGCACCGGGCACAGCGGAGCCCGGGACCAGCGTGACAACGGGAGGGGGGCCGCGGAGGGAGGGGGTTACACGAGCCGGCAGCTTATACAAGCGGAGCTGTCTTGTGTCCTCTGCACACTTCCTTGTTTATCTCAAGGAGCGTATTTAGCCCTCCCAGTTCTTATCTTGATCTGCAGGATATTTTGCTTCTATGCTGTGGGGATGAGGATAGTGGGAGGGATTCACTAGTTTAGCCAGAGACAGCTGGGCAGGGCTGACACCATTCAGTCCACAAAAATGCTGAGTGTTGTCAGCCCGCAAAAGGAAATAAGATGCTGAGAGCATTCCCGGCAAAGCAGCGGGTATTTTTCTGTACTTGCAGTGCCTTTAATGGATGAAAGAAGAACTCCAGAAATTGTTTTATTAATCCTTGTAGGGAGGGCTACCCTCGCACTGCAAGGGTTAAGTGCTCAATTGTGTCTAGGGGCAAAAATAACAGGGATATACTCACCCGAAGCTGTCACAGTGCTCCCTCCAGCCTGTCTCCTCCTCCACAGCAGCATTGGAATCTTCCTCAGCGTCCTCATATCTGTACACTGTGTATAGACGTTGATGATTTATTGGACCTGCTGAGTAGGGGGAGAGACTCTAGAAGCACCGGGCTAGGAAAAAGCCGACTCGGAGCTTCAGGTGAATATAACTTTTTTTTTTTCCAACCTAGACACAAGCGAGCAGTTAATCCTTGCAATTAAAGATGCTGCATGTAAAGAAATATACCATGCTCCTACATCCTCTGTGACATGACAACACAGCTCTGAATTCTTGAGCATGCGGTGTCAGCCCTGCCTACTTTATTTGTACTGGGTTAGAAAGAATACAGACCCCTCCTCATTTCCATAACCCCTCCTCCACATCTCCTCATCTACTTAACCCCTCATGTCTTTAACCCCTTCTCCACATCTCCCACTTCCTCATCTCCATCACCCTTCATCTTTATAGCCCCTCTTCCTCATCTCCATCACCCCTCATCATCTCTATAGCTTTTTCTTCACATCTCCTCCAACCTCCCCATGTCCATCACCCCCCATCTTTGTAGCCCTCCTCCTCATCTCTATAACCCATTCTCTACATCTCCTCCCCACTTTCTCATCTCCATAACCTCTCTTCATCTCTATAACCCCTTCTTCAGATATCCCACCTCCTCATTTCCACCACCCCTTGCCATTTCTATAGCCCCTCTTCCTCCTCTCTGTAACTCCTCCCCCTTGTCTCATCCCCCCACCATCTCCGTTACCCCCACGCTCTATAGCCCCTCTTTCTCCTCCCTATAACTCTCCGCCTTTAGGCCAAGATCAAATGTAGTATCTGTTCTTATCAGTGTTCAGGAGGGTAAATGTGTTCCGTTCTGGCCTTTGGTGGAAATGGCTGGCTGCAGAGTTCCCTGGCTGGGATGATGAGGGTCCTGGTCGTGGGAAGGAAACGGAAAGTAGGGTCCACTCACGTAAGAGTGGAGTCGCCCTTCTGTCTAGGATCTGGTGGGGCCCAGTGCCTATTGATTTAAATGGGACTACCTGGTCTGGTCATGGGCTAGGAAAGCAGAGAGACTGCAGTGTCAAGCTCCTCCTGTAAGTGGCTTTCTGGGGTGCCTAAGTAGCACTTATGGGTTGGGACTCCACTAGTGTGTATGGCATATTGGCCACACCACCTATTGCTTTTTTCTGCACCTCACCTCTTCAGCTAGGCCTTTTGGCTTAATCCGGGGATAATATTTATACCGGGCCACAAGGCCTAGCCATTGTATTGCACATTGGGAATTCTTAATTTTTTCTCCACTGTATGTGCACCGTCACTTTTTTATGTGTGTATTTCGCACTCTACTGGATAGAAGGTGTGGGTCTTCAGGGCTACTCTGAAGTCTAGGGGGAGGAAGTGCGGCCATCAGGTTCCTTCCTCCTCTGAACCAGGGGGTCTCTTCAGGAGAGGCCCCCAACCTAGTACTGGGTGGCTGGCTTCAGCTGGCAATGAGCAATGGGTCTGTCTGGTTTTGGCCGGATGGGCACGAGTACCTTGCCCTTATCAGGAGCCTTGCTCCCCGTGGGTTCAGGGAAGGGCCCTATCTCTTCAGGAGATGGACCAGTTAGACACACCCTTGTGCACTTTTTTGTTGTGTGTTTCACATGCAATTTTTTGATCACTTTGGGTGTTCCTTTTGTATGCACTGCGGGCTTAAAAAATTTAAAATAACTCTTCCTCCCTTCTTTACATGTCCTCCCCTCTTCCTCATCTCCGTAACCTCTCTATCTCTGTAACCCCTTCTCCATATCTCCTCCCGCCTCCTCATCTCCATCACCCCTCGTCATCTCTATAGCACCTCTTCCTCCTCTCCATAATGCCTCCCCAATGTCTCGCCCCACCTCCTCATCTCCATAAACCCTACTCATCCCTATAATCCCCTTCTCTACACTTCCTCCCCTCTTCCTCATCTCTATAACCTCTCTTCATCTCTATAACCCCTTCTCCACATGTCCTCCCACCTTCTCATCTCCATCGCCCTTCATTATCTCTATAGCCCCTTCTCCTTATCTCTATAACTCTTCCTCCATGTCTCCTCCCACCGCCTCATCTTTATAACTCCTTCTTCTCTACTTCTCCTCCCCTCTTCCTTATCTCCACAACCTCTATTCATCTGTATAACCCTTTCTCCACATCTCTTCCCACCGCCTCCCCCTCATAACCCCTCATGATCTCTATATCCCCTATTCTCCACACCTTCTCCCCTTTTGCTCATCCAGATATCTGCATCACCCCTCCTTCACATCTCTTACCACTGCCTCACCTCCATAACCCCTCTTCTTCTATACAGACCCTCCTCCTCCATCTCCATAACCCCTCCTTCACATATCCTCCCCCTCCTCATCTCCATAACCCTTCCTTGTGCATAGCAGAGAGCACAGGAAGTTATCGGCTCACAAGCTTTCTGGCCGGATCAATAGTTTTTTTTGCGCTTATCAAACAAATACAACAAAACACTTTTATTGGTGTATTTAACAGACAAAAAGGGAGCAAATAAGAGAAGTAAAGGTTTAGGGTTTACATACACTTTAAAGGATTAGTCGCTAGTGATTTAGGTAGCATGATTGAGCTATAAAAGTTGTCCATGTGCTCCTACACTTAGGAAGCTTGCCCCGGGAATGACCGAACTCCACAGAACAGACGAATGTAAAGATCTGGAGAAATGTTTGCTACACTTGCTGCTATATATATATATAATCTCTGACCCTGAGGATTTATTTCTCCCATCTCAGCTAACTATTCATTTTACCTCCATTACTATTCAGATGTCTCTGAAGTCCCAGCAAAGCAGGCCGGGATATGTAGTTGGAGAAGGTTGATTCTTACAGCGATGACGGTGGTCAGTGTCCTGCAGTTTTATCATCATATCTCAGTCAGCTGGGGTTATCCGGATTCAGATGGCAACAGCTGGCAATGCCGAGAATAGCCACAATCACTTCCACTGGGAAATGAAAGGGGATCCCGTGTGGTATTTACGGAAGGGCTTGTGCCAGGATGTGACAGCTCGCTTTCTCCAAATGCAGCAAGAGACTCAATGGAACCAAGCCAGTTAAGTCTCCAGCTACACCGGGCCGCATTGTGACACATTGCTGGGTGCCTTCTCTTCTGCTGCCACTGGATGGCAGCATTGTCCACTGTAAACTGTCTACATCTCTCCCTGATAGGCCTTGTTCACACCAAGCGCAGAGCAGGTGCAGAGCAGATCAGTTGCAGACCGGATCAAAACTGCGTCCAATGGTATTTTTTGCTCCAGTTCGCATCGCAGCGTGCAGTTCCAGAGCAGGTCCAGATCAGGTGAAAAAAACTGCAGCAGGCCCTATTTTACCTGCTCTGGATCTGCAAATGCACCAAAAACGCATGCAAATGCCTGGAATGCACTGAAAGCCCATTTTAAACGTAAAAAAAAAAATTGTGTTTTTTTAGCCAAAAACACGTCAAAAACGCATCTAAAAGACTAGCGTGCGTGTGCAGAAACCTGACCGGATCTGCTCGGCATTTGGTGTGAACAAGGCCTTCGGGCCTGTTCACACGACGTCCGTTTTCTGTGCTGACCTGATCCGTACGCTCCTGCACTAAAAATGCATCCCAATGTATCCCTATGTGTTTTATGGGCTACAGTTCTCACGTGCGCAGTCCGTTCAGGTTACGACAGAAAAATACTGCATATCACATTTTGTACGGTCAGGAAACGCAAAACGCGTCAAAAACGCACTGCACTGCAGCTAACATACTGATAGCCCCACTCCAGCAAAAAAACAAAAAACATTTTTTTTTAAAAACTGGAACGCATAAAAAACGCAGCAAACGCGATCCAGCGGTGAAACGAGGGCAACATGTGGGGACAAGATGGCGGACGCCAGCGCTCCCACAGCAGACCCCTGCCCCCATGTCACTGCAAGAAGTGATCACAGATGAGGGGGTTTATGAAAAGATTGCACTGGCGGTGGCAAACCTGCTGAAACCCACCATCACCACAGCAGTGGAATCGGCCATACAGCAGGGGTTAATGCAAGTCCGCAAAGACCTGTCTAACCAGGCCCGATCCCTTAAAGAGGCGGAACAAAGGATATCGCTATTGGAGGAAGAAGTGCTGGAGGCTAACACCAAAGTGTCGGCACTAGATGACATCTCTCAATCCCTCCTCACTAAGATAGATGACTTGTAAAACAGGTCTAGGAGGAACAACCTTCAGATCATAGGATTGCCAGAATCCTACAAACCGCAAGTATTGGCCCACCTGTGTTCGTCCACGTTACCCGAGGCTTTGGGCCTCAACATGACCTGCATGGTGGAACGTGCGCATAGATTGGGACAGCAGCAGCCTGACAAGGCGAATCCAAGACCGGTTATTGTGCGGTATTTGAATTATGCTGACAAGTCTCTCATCATGCAAACATACCGCACCTCTCGCTCCTTGGAGGTTGAAGGCCACAAATTGTTGGTTTTCGCTGATTACTACGCAGAGGTCGCTAGAAAAAGAAAGGCTTTCAACAAGATCTGCTCCGCCCTATACCAGAGGCAAATAAGATTCTCATTGGCATACCCTGCCATCCTCCATATGGAAACTCCCACGGGCAGAAAGTGTTCCTTCCAGGATCCTACGGAAGCGGAATCCCTTTTTAGCTCGATGACTATGGACTCTGGGTCTCCCCCTGGGGTGGTCGAAACCCTCAGGTCCCCTCGCAAAACAACGAGGACCTCGAAACGTGGTCGGGGCACGTCGTGCAAATATAGATTCCGCTGAGATGCAAGAGGGCGTACAAGAAGCGTCAAAAGAATCTCAGTTTTACCCTGGGGCGGGGAGTATTGCTTCAGTTTGCTTGTTTTTCCATGATGGCAGCGGCTGGCGGAGACGTGACACTCGCTCTGCCCACATTGGAAAACAGTGGAGTCATTAGTAGGATGTTTTATTTACTAAAGTTTACATGTTTATGGTTGTTAGTGATTTAGCTGTTAACTTTTCCCATTTTGCTGGTTGCCTCCTAGAGTACAAGTACTACTATGCACCGGGAGTGGTGGTGTCCGGGCGCACACTGCGGCTGTCTACCCCTTCCTCCACACGGACCTCCCATGATGCCGGCAAACTCTAACTGGGTAAGTAGATCCTCACTGGGCACCCTCCTCTAATACAGAGCTGGAGGCGGCCCTGGTACATCCATGGGACCTGCGAGCCATACTGCATAGTAAATTGTCTAAGCTGCCAGGAACACTGTGCCGTCACTTATTAATTAGAGACACGTTCTTAGCCTGGAAGGTGGTTAGACGCCGGCTGGGTCTATCGCCCTATGTGTCGAAGTGGTGCCCACTGCTAGGGAATCCCATGTTCCCTCAGGGTAATGACTACGCTGCTTATAAGATATGGCACAGGAAGGGGCTTACTCATTGGAAACAACTGTTTCAGGGAAATACCTATGCCTTTCCCAGCACTGGCACAGCAGTATTCATTACCATCCTCTCATTTTCTATATTACTTACAAGTTGGCACAACATGGTGCATGTTCTCCCCAAAAAGAGACCCCAAAAAGCTCTTTGCCTCTACGTTTCTAGACACCCTCATATCAGGGGGGGGATACTCCATCTCAGACATATACCCAGGGTTACAGCTAACTTACGTTGCCAATTTATCTTCATCCAATATCAAAGAATGGGCTAAGGACTTTCCCACCCCGGATCTAGTGGAGCACATCGTGGAGGGTTACAACTTAATGCGCAAACTGGTCACTAATGAAACTTGGAGGGTGACCCAGTTTAAAATAATGCATCGGGCCTATGTGGCATACTTTCCCGGCGGGAGCAGGGGAGCAACGACTCATATCAGTGTTCCCTAAATGCGGTCTCTCCCGCCCCACGTTGGCTCATTGCCTATGGACGTGCCCGTCAATGGGACAGTTCTGGACAGGTGTTACCACATACATAGCTACAGTCATACGGTGGACACCGAAGCAGAATCCTCTGCTGTATCTGTTCAGCGCTCCTGAGTATTCCGCAGTAGACCCTCACTGTTCAACCCAAAGGGGCAAGGATTGGATGCATCTTTGCCTATTGGCGGCTCGAAGATGCATAATGAGAGCATGGAATAAATCCTCC